ATTTCTTGTGTGAATAAAAATTCAAAATGGAAAGCAAGGATAATATAAGAGGCCTGGAGAGGTGGCTAATGAACAGAGAAAATGTCATTTTAGTGCCAGGAATGTCTACATTTATTCTAGACCCTACTTTGAAAATGGCCTTTCTTGAATAATTTTGTGTGAAATTGGCCAAATTAGTAATTTCTGATCACTTTATTGGATAGTTGAAATAGGTAAATGGGCAGTTTCTTGTACTCAATCGATAGAATAAAAGGAATTCTAGCTTAATAGCCGAGTTTGGTCAAACAAAACAAGGGAATTGGCCCAAAATAGGGCTCAAACTGGGCAAAATCGCAGGTGCATAAATATCGCGAAGACCGTTAACTTAGGGAGAGTGTAATTCCTTCAAGTTTTCCATCAAATTTCAAGCTTTTGGTTTCATTACCTTCAGAAAAAGATTCGCTATCATTTCATAAGAAAATTATTCGACCCTGGAAGCAAGTTTGCAAGCAGGGGTCTTGACTCTCAAAGGTTCAATCAAAGGAAATTCCAACTGAATCAAGAGCCACTCATCATACAAAAATCTCTAGTAAATGGATTTTACTAAAGGCAACATGTTTTCATGACAAGCCAGATTATCGTACTGACAAGAAAGTACTTAACCTGTATAGGTCATGTAATACCAAGCAAGCAGTAAACAAACTATAAAAGGACACTGAGAAACATGAGTCAGTAAGTTTTCAGTTTTGAAAGGTGTGCTTGCTTAAGCCTTCCATATGCCTCCCTTCTCCACTCTCTTACAAAAGTGTAACAACACTAACGAGATTTCATTCACTTATTTTTTCGTAATAAGAGCTCTAGCCAAACATACCTCTTTTGAAGAATGAGAGACTTCTGCAACATTTGGGAATCTGAAGAAATGTTTTGCCACACATTGGCTTCATCAGTCCAATACAAAGAATGGTAGTGGACTGATGAAGCCACTGTGTGGCAAAAAAGTTTCTTCAATAAAGATTCCAAAATTTTACACAAGTCTCACATTCTTCAACCTGTGTTTTCTAAACCATTTATTACATACCTCCTTTTTATCATACCTATGATTTTTGCTTTATTATATTATTAATGTTTTATATATGACTGCCTCATATTCATTGTTGAGGATTACAGTATACATCTTTTATCACGTGGTATTGCTCAACTGCTCACTAAATGTATACATGTCTACATTCTTACATGTCTCTTACACTTGCTAAAAGTGATGATAGCTACACAGAGCAGAAAATGGATAAACTTGACAGTTTTCATTAGCATTCTAAGAAAAACAATGTGTGGGAGCTGAGAGGGTACCTGCTATGTAAGTGGCCTCTAGCAGTAAGATGTTTAGTCTATTGGATGTTGCAAGAACATGATGTACACACTTCTCTCATGCCAAGACATTCAGCGTGCGATTTTGCTGGAAATAATTGAAGATGCTGGTTACACACAAAAGCAAATGTTTACTGCCAAAGTTATTTTCTTTTTGTACTGATAAAATAGTGGGAGAGGAGGGATAAGCTAGTGGTGATGAGCTGAAGTAAGTATGGTAGCAGAGATATCCTCTTGGTGCTCAGCACCCCACACATTCCTCTTCATATGCCAGCAGTCTATTTTGCTTAAATATGTTGAAGATGGTGACATACCATGTGTATTATGTACACAAGGTTGACTGGTGTATTTCAAGTTTTGAAAGACAAACCACTGGCCAGTTGCCAAAATAACCCACCTTCCTTACAAACCTTAATGTTAAATATGATGACCTACATACAGGAAATGTTAACAGTACTGGTGGCTATTTGGCAAATGTTATATTACTTTTGAACATTTTTTATGCATAATTTGGGACCAATATTTTCCTTACTAAACCCTTCATTTTCATCTCAGTATTTCAAAATTAGCTTAATACTCCTGCAAGATCTTCAAATCAAATGTGAACGACAAACAAGGTACACCTATACATTGTGGGTATGCATACATGCTGCAGTGCTCTAATAGTGGGCCTTACTGTAGTGAGCTAGTTTATATTTGTGTACCATGGTATACTACTGAAAGACAAATTTCTTAAGTAAATGAATAGTCTTAATCTTAAAACGGTAATGATGAAATTAATAGTAGTAAAGTAGAATTATTGGATAACTTTCTCAGGTTAACCCACTGACTGTCGGTGTCGTATATACAAGTCTTACGAGCCAGTGTCAGTGACGTATTAATACGCCAAAATTCTAGCGGCTTCAAATCAAGCGGGAGAAAGCTGATAGGCTCACATACGAGAGAATGGGTCTGTGTGGTCAGTGTGCACAGTATAAAAAATTCCTGCAGCATGTAGTGCATGAGAAAAAAAAAAACTGACCGTGTTTTAGGATTATAACGCCGAATTTGAGGTGTATTTTCGTATAATATTTATAGTTGTATTCTCGTTTTCTTGGTTTTATTTGATAGAATGGAAGATATACTGCAGAAATAAAGATGTTTTTGATGCATTTCACAATGAAAAAGACTTTGAAATTGAGCTCAAATTAGCAGAAATGTTTGATTTTTGCTGATGTTTAAGAGTAAATAAATGACGTCACCGTCCAATAAGTATCCAACTAGCCATTCTATTATGCAATCATAAATGAGATGACATTATTTATACAATTATTACAACAATGCAGTAGTCTGCATAACAGTAAATCTATATTATTGTTATGCGGGGGTTCGAAACGTGGACTGGGCAAGAACACTCACGTAGGCTGGCACAGGCCCGCCCTGCCTCTCTGTTCTCTAAGACTGACTCACCAGTGATGCCTAGGGGTGAGACGAGTTCAAAAACATGCTATGGTCAGCTGCAACGTGAATAACAGTCAGTGATTCACGCAGACGGTTGGTAGTGAGTCATACTACTGGTAACTGGTACTACTGGGAACTGATACTACTAAGATTGTGTGTGAATAAAAATTCAAAACAGAAAGCAAGAGTAATATAAGAGGGGCCTGGAGACATGACCAATGAACAGAGAAAATGTTATTTTAGTGCCAGGAATGTCTGCATTGTTTATTTTGGACCCTATTTTGAAACTGGCATCTTTATTAATTTGCCTGAAATTGGCCAAATTGCCAATTTCTGACCACATTATTGGGTAGCTGAAATCAGTAAATAGGAGGTTTCTTGTACTCATTCTTGGTCGAATGGAACAATGGAATTGGCCCAAAATAGGGCTCAAAGTGGGAAAAATCGCTGATGCGTATGTATTGCTGAGATCATTAACTTCGCAAGAGTGTAATTCCGTAAGTTTTCCATTAAATTTCGTACGTTTGGTGTCATTACCATCGAGAAAAGATTTTCTAATTCTGTAAGAAAAAATTTTTTTTTTTTCCTTGAATATTTTGCAACACAGACACAGTTCAGGATTTGGGGTCTCAACAGTCAAAGGGTTAATTATGACAGTGATGGCTGTTGGGGGACAATGTTATGAATGAACTGGAATGAACCTATCAGTGTGTGATCCTTGTGTCTTGCTCATCAACACCAGTATCACCACAGCGTCCGCATCAATGTCATTATTGTACATTACACAGAGTACTGTACAGTGAAGCTTCATTGTAATGCATGACACCAAGATCAAGTATTCGTAGTTTCCAAGTTTGATGAGGAAATGGGAACAACGAGGATGTTCGTTCCTTTCTCCCTTGAACAATTTATTAGTATGTCATGGGTGGCAAGGATACATTTGTTCTAATTTTCCCTATGTTATACATATTGCTACAAGTCAAATTTGAATAAAGAAATATCTGTACGTCTGCTTTTAATACAATTTAATCTTCACAATCCTTGCATGTTTCTGCATACAACACAAATACAACACCAATCCCTAATATATTTTGAAAAGACATTGCCCATATGTGCAATAACAAGGCAGTATACATACTGAACATTAAACAGAATATGCTCGTCCTTGCTCACCCATCAGAATGACGTATTTTTTTAAGTCAGTTTTCACAAAGTACAAAAAATTCTGTAAACATAGCTATAAATTATATAAAAAATATAAAAACTTTTTACATTTTACTAAATCCTGTCCCAAAATTTACAAAAAAAAATTAATCTGCACACATGTGATAAGCTTGAGTATTATCAAGAGTTTTCATTTACTTTTTTTGTTATTTTGTTTTTTACTCACTTTTTTCCATTTAAACTCATTTGCTAAATGAGAATATTTTGCACTGATCTGTCTTATCTAGGTGAAATATCTGTTACATGTGTGTACTATGTGAAAGTCAAACTAATACTGGAAATTCAGGTAATATTTCAGCAATGTACAGGATAAGAGCACATTATAGTTCGATTTTTGGCAGGATGGCTTAAAGGTAACTCACTCACCTCTTAAGTGCTACCTAACTGTCCTTTCAACTATAAAGGAGTCATGTAATATACCTTATTTGCACAGCAAACATGTTTATCTATACTCAAGTCTATAGTTTTAGCTTAGAGTTAGAGACTGAAGACAGAATGCACATAAGGCAACCATGATTAGTGCTTGTTGCCAAAAGATGGCATCTTAAGATTAGCCTGTGGCAGAAGTATTCTGAACAAGGAATGAGTGGAAGGAAGAGAAGGCAGATGAATCAAAAGAATATCCCCCCCTCCTCACTATGCACATACACTGTCCTTTTTTCTTTACCATTATACAATCACTTGCTGCAAACAAGTCAAGTTAGCAATAATGTTTAGTATCATTGAATCAATAGTGGTGATCAAAATTTTCCAGAATTTAATATACAGCAATGCATAAAATAAAGGTGTTGCAATATTAATATGCATTATTAGTACAATATCTGAAAGCATCTCATAAATTGGTCCCTCAATATGCTGTATCTATTCTTGCAAGACTGTAGTTACATGCAGAAATGCCTTTCAATTTTTGTAACCCAAAATATTTACACAACTTGTATATTAGTTTTGGAATTTTTCAATGACACATGGTAGCGAGAGATACTGTAGCTTACTTATTACAGTTGTGCTCGGCACAGACTCTGGGAGCTGTGTGTTTGATAAAAGTTTATTGGAATCAATCATTTCCTCGGAAGTAGGTAATGGCTCTAGTTTTGGAGGAGGATGGAGATGCAACTTGTGTTGTTGTTGCTGCTGCTGTTGCAATGCTTTATCATTGTCTGGCCCTGGTTCCTCTTTTTCCTTGACACTCAGCTCCTGCCGAAGATCTGAAAAGAAAACAGTTTGGTTTGACATCCACAAAACCTTCTATTATTTTTTAAAACCAAATAAAATGTAGATACTGCAATTCCATCAGAAATGTTCAGCTGGAAAAAATAAAGGTAGTGTCTTCATTTCCTACCACAATTTTAATTTCATCTTTGTGCTTTTTTTTTTTTTAAACACGTCGGTCGTCTCCCACCGAGGCAGGGTGACCCAGAAAGAAAGAAAACCCCCCAAAAAAGAAAATACTTTCATCATCATTCAACACTTTCACTTCACTCATAAGTAATTATCTTTGCAGAGGCACTCAACGACAGTTCAGAAGAAAAAGAGGAAGGTATGGGAATCATTTGAAATAGTATATAAATAGCAATACTAAACTCAATTTTAACTTCCAGTCTTAAAGTTTCCAATTTTGTTTACAGTATTAACAATTATTTAACTTAAAAATGCAATGATCTGTACAATATTTTACCAAATTCTCTCAAAACTAACTTTTGACAAAATAGGAATTTGCAAAGAAATTAATCATTTTTGAGTGCACACTACAGAGGCTTTCAAATAGTTTGACAAGGTCTTACATTGTAAGCGGTCTATCAGTGATCATTTCTCTGCTCCACAACATAAATAGCTCAAACTCATGATTCAACTGATTATTTTTTTTTATTAACCTTTTGAGAACATTTCAAAGCTATTCTCAGGTGGTGCCACTTTACAATGAATATTATACTGTGCTTCTCCATGGACTTTCAGCATTAAGAAAGATTGTTTGTAACAATTATATTATGTATATCAACCAACACAATAAAAATAATCAATAGATTAAAAACAAATCACTCTGCTGGAGAAAAATTAATAAATTAAAAATGGAGATCAATCAAGTTAATAAGCTAAAAGTTTTTAAAATAGCAAGTTTAATATATTCTACATACTCTAAGAGTATATAGGAAAAAAGGAAATTATTTCCCAGTAAAAGTAGGCCTTAGACAAGGATGTGTGATGTCACCGTGGTTGTTTAATATATTTATAGATGGGGTTGTAAGAGAAGTAAATGCGCGAGTCTTGGCAAGAGGCGTGGAGTTAAAAGATAAAGAATCACACAAAGTGGGAGTTGTCACAGTTGCTCTTTGCTGATGACACTGTGCTCTTGGGAGATTCTGAAGAGAAGTTGCAGAGATTGGTGGATGAATTTGGTAGGGTGTGCAAAAGAAGAAAATTAAAAGTGAATACAGGAAAGAGTAAGGTAATGAGGATAACAAAGATTAGGTGATGAAAGATTGGATACCAGATTGGAGGGAGAGAGTATGGAGGAGATGCATGTATTCAGATATTTGGGAGTGGACGTGTCAGCAGATGGGTCTATGAAAGATGAGGTGAATCATAGAATTGATGAGGGGAAAAGGGTGAGTGGTGCACTTAGGAGTCTGTGGAGGCAAAGAACTTCGTCCTTGGAGGCAAAGAGGGGAATGTATGAGAGTATAGTTTTACCAACGCTCTTATATGGGTGTGAAGCATGGGTGATGAATGTTGCAGAAAGGAGAAGGCTGGAGGCAGTGGAGATGTCATGTCTGAGGGCAATGTGTGGTGTGAATATAATGCAGAGAATTCGTAGTTTGGAAGTTAGGAGGAGGTGCGGCATTACCAAAACTGTTGTCCAGAGGGCTGAGGAAGGGGTGTTGAGGTGGTTTGGACATGTAGAGAGAATGGAGCAAAACAGAGTGACTTCAAGAGTGTATCAGTCTGTAGTGGAAGGAAGGCGGGGTAGGGGTCGGCCTAGGAAAGGTTGGAGGGAGGGGGTAAAGGAGGTTTTGTGTGCGAGGGGCTTGGACTTACAGCAGGCATGCGTGAGCGTGTTTGATAGGAGTGAATGGAGACAAATGGTTTTTAATACTTGACATGCTGTTGGAGTGTGAGCAAAGTAACATTTATGAAGGGGTTCAGGGAAACCGGCAGGCCGGACTTGAGTCCTGGAGATGGGAAGTACAGTGCCTGCACTCTGAAGGAGGGGTGTTAATGTTGCAGTTTAAAAACTGTAGTGTAAAGCACCCTTCTGGCAAGACAGTGATGGAGTGAATGATGGTGAAAGTTTTTCTTTTTCAGGCAACCCTGCCTTGGTGGGAATCGGCCAGTGTGATAATAATAATAAAAAAAAGTTTAATGTACAGTGTAACCTCAGTATACGACCAGCTCCCTACTCGAACAAAGCTCAGCACCCAACCAAACAAATATGACCTGAGAGAACTTTGCCGTAAACTATTTCGTGTTCCTTTGCATTTTTTTGGAGTTTTTTTTTTGTATTATAAATAAATCACCATGGGGCCTACAAAGATCAGTGATAACAGCCAACCAAACAGAAAATTGGTTGGGAAGAACTTGTTCAATACTCACGCGGAGCAGCACTTGAACAGCCTTCTGGAATGAATTAAGGTCGCATACCGAGATTCCACTGTACCTGTACCATGTATGAAATATCAGATTGACAAAATTTAAATTTAAAAAATAAAGCACCTGAGGTAAATATAATTTCATACAGCAAGTGTCACAAGCCCCTGTATTTTTTACCTACAGCATCAACAATGTCCAACTCTACAGAGGTAATAATTTCAGCTTCCAATGGTATTTTTATGATTCTCGTTCACCTATTTTCCCATTTGACTTTTGAGTTCCATTTACAGTGGACCCCAGATTAAGTTGTCGTCGGATTAAGTAATAATCGGATTAACCCTTTGACTGCCACAACCCCAAAATCCTGAGGTGTCTCCTGGTGTCGCAAAATATTTGGAAAAAAAAAAAAAAATTTTTTCTTATGAAACGATAGAATCTTTTCTCGATGGTAATGATACCAAAAGTATGAAATTTGATGGAAAACTTTTCCGAATTACGCTCTCGCGAAGTTAATGACCTCGAGGGATATTTACGAATAGGCGATTTTGCACAATGAGCCCTATTTTAAGCTAATTCCATTGTTCCAGTCGACCAAACTCAGTTATTTCTTTAGAACTCCATTTTGTTCTATCGATTGAGTACGAGAAACTGCCCATTTACTGATTTCAAATACCCAATAATGTGGTCAGAAATTGGCAATTTGGCCAATTTTGCACAAATTAAAAAATATGCCAATTTCAAAATAAGGTCCAGAATGAACAATGTGGACATTCCTGGCTCTAAAATAACATTTTCTTTGTTCATGAGTCATGTTTCCAGGCCCCTCTGATATTCTTGCTTTCTATTTTGAATTTTTATTCAAACAAAAAATAAAAGATTTACTGTTACGCGGACTACTGCAATATTGTAATAATTGTATAAATAATGTCAACCCATTCATGACTGCATATTAGAATGGCTAGTTGGACATTTATTGGACAATGACATTTATTTACTCTTGAACATCAGCAAAAATCAAACATTTCCGCTACTTTGAGCTCCATTTCAAGGTCCTTTTCATAGTAAAACCAATCAAAATCACCTCTATTTCTATAATATGTTTTCCATTCTATCAAATGACACCAAGAAAATGAGAATACAACCATAAATACTATACGAAAATACATCTAAAATTCAGCGTTTTAATCCAATAACATGGTCAGTTTTTTTTTTCATTATGCACTGCGTGCTGCAGGATTTTTTTTTTTTATATGGTGTACACTGACCACACAAACTCATTCTCTCACATGTGGGCCTACCAGCTTTCTCCTGCTTGATTTGAAGCCATTAGAATTTTTGAGTATATATACATCAAACACACTGGCTCGTAAGACGTATACATACGGCCGAAACAGTCAAAGGGTTAAGTAACATTCTTGTGTCAAAATATCGGCTCGGTTAATGACACTGAACTCGGTAAAAGTCATTCGTCCTGAACGTGTCCACTCGCCATGAGCAGCCCGGACACTCCATGTACAGCCAGTGTGCCATTGTTTACCAGCCAGTGAGGACGATTCCAGTGCACATGCGATACATTTTGTATTATTCTGTTGTTTTTAGTGCTTATAACTGCAAAATAAGCCACCAGGGGCCCAAATAAAGCTTCTAGTTCCAGTCCTTCGGTAAAGAGGGTGAAAAACACTATAGAACTCAAGAAAAAGTTTGTAGAAAGATATGAAAGTGGTGGTGGTAGAGGGTGGTAGCAATGGCAGTAGTGATGATGGTAGAGGGTGGTAGTGATGGTGGTAGTGATGGTGGTAGTGATGGTGGTAGTGATGGTGGTAGTGATGGTGGTAGTGATGGCAGTAGTGATGGTGGTAGAGGGTGGTAGTATGGGCCAACAGGTCTGTTGCAGTATTCCTGCTTTCTTATGTACACCAGCCAGGGTACTTCCCCACCACACACCAGCCAGGGTACTTCCCCCCCCCCACACACCTGCCAGGGTACTTCCCCACACACACCAGCCAGGGTACTTCCCCACACACATGATTTGATTGGGACTGTGCATGAGTGACTAGAATTATCAAAGCTTATTGCTAGGGAAGCACTGAAAATTGGGTTGGGCAAATACGATTCTGTTAGTGGGATGGTTTGTGAAGGACATGCCTAGTATGGGCCAACAGGCCTGCTGCAGTGTTCCTGCTTTCTTATGTGCAAACATTTATAGATGAACGTCACCCTGACACAGCTGTTGCAGGCCATGCTGGCAACATCTACAATGATAATGTTGTGTCCCATTTTAGGGAAATCTTAAAGAGACATCAGAAACAGAGCTCTCTGGACAAATATTTTATGCAACAGGGGTCCAGTGACTCTCAAGGTGGTCCTAGTGGCATTAAAAACAAAGAAGGGAAGTAACCCCAGATAAGGACTTGGTACCTGAAGTCTTCATGGACTGGGATTCCCCTTCCAAGCAATAGTACACCTCCATCCTCTCCCCTCCTCCCATCTCATCAATCATCAGTAAGTCTTCAATAAAGGTAAGTGTCATTTTAGTAATGTTTTACTCTGCATGTCTCATTGTTTTCTGTGTAAGGAAATGTGGATTTCACATAGAAAAATGATATTGTTTAATACTTTT